TAAACTCGGGGAGCATCCCCACTCCTCCTCCTCCAGGGGCTCCCCCAGGACAGCAGGCTGAGGCGGGAGAGCCTGCAGCGGGGTGTGGCCGGGTCCCCAGCCTCCCCCCCCTTCCGCTTCCACACAGGCCGGGCCGGTAGCCGCGGAATACGGGCGTCCTCGGTGGTCACTGCTCCCCCATCCGGCTCTGCCCCGCTGCATCCTGGGATCTCAATGCCCAGTGGGCGCTGGGTTTTCCCAAACCCGCAGCCAGGGCTGTGGGAGGTGGTGCAGCCGGGCAGCTCGGCCTCCCACAGCTGGCCAGGATGGGGGCGGGGGAGGGGGACGTGCCCCACCCTGGCTGGTCTCCACGTCCAGGGCCTGCCCCTGCCCCCCGGCTGCTGGCTCCCGCAGACAGGACAGGAGAGGGCGCGTGGGGGGGCCCAGGGAGCTCGCGTGCCAGGGCCGCCTCCGGGTGCTGGGTGCCACTCAGGCCCTGCCCCCTCGCTCAGGAGTGGGGCCCCTCCCCCACCCTGGCTCTCCTGAACCATCGAAGGAGGACCCTCAGGGCTTGTGGGCTCCGAGCTCTGCGGGTGCTGCCTGGGGCTGCGGGCGGGGACAGATCGAGCCTGACCTGAAGCCGCCTTCCATCTGCCGGGCTTCTCTCCCACACGGCTGTCTGACCGGCCGTCCGGCCGGCCGGCCGGAGTGGGTTCCTGCCTGGCGGTGACCCTCTCCTGTCCACCAGGCTGTGCTCCCCCCCAGGCTGTGCCCGACACCCACAGCTCCCCTGAGGGGTGGACGGGGCGCCAGGGCGCTGGGCACAGGCAGGGTGCCGGCTCACTGAAGGCACCTCTCCAAGGCCATCGGCGTCTCCCGGGCCTGTCTCTAAGGGGCGGCTCCTCCGTGGCCGAGGTCAGCGTGGCGCCTCGGAGCCCCCGCGGTGCCCACACAGAGCAGCCCTTCCTGCTTTCTTTAACTTTAAAAACATATATATATTTTTTTATTTTGGAGAGAGGTGGGGAGAGGGAGACAGAAACATCAATGATGAGAATCATGATCAGCTGCCTCCTGCACGCCCCTCACTGGGGATGGAGCCCACAACCCCGGCCTGTGCCCTGACCGGGAATCAAACCGTGACCTCCTGGTTCAGAGGTTAAAGCTCCACCACGGAGCCACGCCAGCTGGGCCAGAGCGCCCCCTCAGAGAGGAGACCTGGCTGGCTCCAGCTGCGCAGCTCGGACCCAAACCCTGGCCCCGGGCAGTCGCAGGTGCCGCCTCCAGAGTCCGCTGAGCAGTACCCGGGGCGGGGGGGGGGGTTCCTCCCCTCGAGGCCTCCTCCTCATCCTCACCCGGGCCTGGGCCCACAACAGCCAGGGCCCCCAGGGCTGCATCTACCAGGTGCCCACTGTGTGCTGGGAGCCACCTCCCGGGCCCCTCCTCCGGGCCTGACGGGGTGACCAGAGCCCCCACGGACAGACAGGGGGCCAGGAGGGGCATGGTCAGTCAGTGCTGGGGGGAGGGGGGAGACCGGCTGGCACCGAGGCTGGGTCGGGGTCCGGGGCAGGGTGGGTCGGGGTCCGGGGAGGGTGGGGAGGGAGAGACCGAGGACTGAGGCACCAGCAGCGTCGCCGGGGACCAGGCGGGTGCAGACGCGGTGCCCAGTGTGGCCTGGCCCGTCCCAGGGCAGAGTTCACCAGGCTCTGTCCACAGGCTCCCACGGACGCACCCCAGGCCCGGCCCCGCCCGGCCGCCTGCGGGGAGCATTGCAAAAGCCCTCGGGCCCCCTGGCTGCACTCCCGGCGGGTGAGAGGCTGCGGGGCGGGTGTGAGGCCAGTGGAGGCCAGTGGAGGCCAGTGGAGGCCGGGGGCGGGGGGCGGGGGGGTTTGCAATGAAGCGGGGGGGGGGGGGGGGGGGGGGAGAACCTGGTGTGAGTGTGTGTGACTGTGTGTGTCCCTGTGTGGTGTTTCTGTGTGTGTCCCTATGTGTGTGTGTCCCTGTGTGTGTGTGGTGTGTGGCTGTGTGTGGTGTGTGGTTGTGTATGGTGTGTGATTGTGTGTGTCTGTATGTGTGTGTCTCTGTGTCTCTATGTGTGTGGTGTGTGTCTGTGTGTTGTGTCTGTGTGTGTACGTGGCTGTGTATGGTGTGTGTGTCTGTGTGGTGTGTCTGTGTGTGGTGTGTATGTGTCTCTGTGTGTGTGTCTGTGTGGTGTGTCTGTGTGTGGTGTGTGTGTGTGTGTCTGTGTGCATATGTGGGGGGGGCTGTAGCTGTGAGAGACAGTGTGAGTGGCCTGGGCCCTTTGTCCACTCTCTCTTCCTCCCTAATCCAGGGCGGCCAGCCCGGCCGGCCGTCACCATGGGGACAGAGCCGCTCCTCCCCCGAGGACAGGATGACCTGGGGGCTGGCCGTTTCTGGGGTCCCTTCCACAGCCCCACGGGGGACGGGTGCAGCCTGCGGTGGGTCCCAGCCTGCTCCCCTCCTGGAGGCGGGCTGCCCAATCAGGACTGTGACCCGGGGTGGGTAGGATCCTGGGGCGCTGTCACTGGGGGCACCTTGGTGGGGGGTGGAGGCCAAGGGGCAGAGCCCAGCCCTCCTGTCGGTGGGGCTGCAGGGTCAGGGCGCCTCCGCCCCGTGGCCTCCCGCCGCCTGCTGCCATGAGGAGGGAAAACGGGCCAGGCTTTCCTGGACTATTTTTTTCAGTTTTTTTTTTTTAATAAATTTTTATTGTTCATATTATTACAAATGTTCCTTCCCCTCCCCTCCCCCCCCAATTGCTCTCCTCTTCCTGGACTATTTTTAAGGCCCACGGACGGGCATTCCAGGAACAGGAAAAAAACAGATGACCAGCGTCCGTGCGGCAGAGGGCGTGGCGCAGGCCTGCGGGCAGGGGGGTGGGGGCCGGGGGTCACTCATCGAGGGCCACGCCCAGGGCGGAGAGCAAAAGGCTCTTGGGTCCAGACTTGGCTCCACCCCAACTGGGCTCTGTAGCTGAGGGACCCCTCCGCCTCGGGCCTGCCCCCTGCAGGGTAGGGGCCAGGTGAGGCGGGCCTCACTGGGCAGAGTTTTCTGGCGCACCAGGGCCCCCAATATCTGGACATGAGGCCCCTGTGGCTGCACCAGCAGAGGGATGCCAGGCCCCCTTCTTGGGCCCTGGAGGGCACAGGCCGACTGACCCGTCATGGAGCTCACAGCTGGTGCAGGATGCTCACGCTCACACACGCTCTCACACGCAGACAACAGTGTGTCTGCAACACACACACAACTGTCTAGGGAGAGGAGGAAAGCTCTAGGGATTCACCCAGGAGAGAGGCTGCCTCCTGCTGTCCAGGCCGGGGGGCACTCCCACTCAGGAGACCCCGCCGGGCTGGGAGGGAGGAGGCAGAGGAGCGGGCGCACACACCGCCCCTCCCGGCCGCTGAGTGAGTGCCCACTGCTGAGCGGGGGCGACTCCAGGTCTTCAGGTCAAGCTGGTAGGGTTCACGGGGTGCTGGCTTCCGAAGGTGGACTCCAAGGCCAGAGGCCAGTTGGGCGGGCCACTGGGGAGGCCCCGGGGCCCTCGGCCCCTCTCCAGGACCCACACTCTGCCCCGGAGCTCCCTTAGGTCCGGGGCCCTCAGGGCAGGAGGGAGCTGGGCAGGTGCTGCTCCAGGAAGACAAGAATCTAAGCTGTGCGGGGGAGGGGTGCGGGGGGGGGGAGGGGTGCACGCGGGGGAGGCTGCAGTGGTTGGGGGAGACTGTGGGCGGCCCTGTGCACACTGGGGGTCCCCCGGGCCTCTTGGCTCCCCCAACCCTCTTTGAGGCCCGCGTGGAGGCCTGGTCGTCCGGCTCCGACCCCGGGGCTGGCACAGGATGCCCACACCGAGCCCCGAGCCGCTCAGGACAGTGGCCTTGGCGGACAGCCGTGGGGCCGTGTCGCACCGCCGCCTAGGCGAGTGGCCGTGTAGGAGGCTCGGGTGGGCCTGGCTGGCCGGGCGCTGACCGCGGTGGTCAGGGGGGCTGTGGGCGCGGTGGCCAGCCCCGGGCCCGGGGGCAGCCAGGTGGGTGCAGACCGAGGAGGGCGCGCGGAAGGGCGGGGGGCAGCAGGGCTGAGGTCCTAGGAAGCCGCGGGAAGGCCCTCGGGGCGGGAGGACCAGCCCGGCTAGGAATGAGCCCCGAGGGTGGCAGGGTCCCGGGCGCGGCCGCTGAGCCGGTTCCGGGAGGGGCAACGCCGCCTCCCCGCGCGGACTGCGGGCCACGCACACGCACGGGCCTGGGGCAGCGCGGGAGGCGCCCCCGGGACCCCGTCCGTCCCGGGACCCCCGTCCGCTCGCAGCAACGGACGCCCTGCCTCCCTCCCGGTCGCGAAGGCGCGCGTGTCGCCGGTGACCTTCCCGGCGCAGCCTGGGTGGGCCCACGGGAGGCCCCGCCCCTCCCGCGCGCCACGATTGGCCGAGGCCGCGGTGCCCTTTGAAAACAGAGGCTCCCATTGGCTCCCGCGGCCCCGCCCTACCCGCCTGGGCAGCGCCCGCGCGAAGCTGCGCGTGCGCGGAGCTGTGTGTGTGCGCGAAGCGGATCCCTCCGCGCCCGGCGCCTCCGAGGTCCACTGAGGCGAGGAAGTCCCGGCGGCCGCCGCGCCCCCGCCCGCCCGCCGCGCCCCGCTCGCCCGCCGCGCCGGCCCCGAGGCGCCGCCCGGCCTCTCCCCGCGGTCCCCGCAGCGGCTCCGGCGGGCTCCGGGGGCGGCCGCCGCGCGGACCCGGCGGAGGAGGGCGGTGTCCCGCTCGCCCCGCCCCCGCGGAGGGATACGCGCGTCCGCGGCCCAAAAGCCCGGGCGAGGCGGCGGGAGTGCGAGCCGCTCAGTCTGCCGCGCGCCCACGCGGTCCACGCAGCTCGCCGGCCGCTGCGCCGCGTGACGGTCTCGCCCGCGCGCGTCTCGGCCGCTGCGCCAGGGACCGGCGCTCCCGCCGCCCGCCGCCCGGGGCTCGGGGTCCGCGCGGCCGGGGAGGCCGCCCTCCCGCGTCCGGAGCCGCGCGGGGAGCCGCCGCGATGCTGCTCTCCAAGTTCGGGTCGCTGGCGCACCTGTGCGGGCCGGGCGGCGCGGACCACCTCCCGGGGAAGATCCTGCCGCCGGGTACGCGGGGCCGGGGGCCGGGGGCCGGCCGGGGCTCCGGGGGGCGGAGGGACCGGGGCGCTGGGGCTCGGGGGCCGGAGGGGCCGGGGGACCGGGGCCGCCTCGGGCCGCACCAACCCCGCCCTCGCGGCCCCGCAGGCAAGGCGGACAAGGAGAGCTTCGAGAAGGTGTACCAGGTGGGCGCCGTGCTGGGCAGCGGCGGCTTCGGCACCGTCTACGCGGGCACCCGCATCGCCGACGGGCTCCCGGTGAGTGGCCGCCGGGCGGGCAGGGTGTTGCGCCCCGCGCGGCTGGCCCGGCCCGGCCTCACCCCCGCCTCCCCCCGCCTCCCCCGCAGGTGGCCGTGAAGCACGTGGTGAAGGAGCGGGTGACCGAGTGGGGCAGCATCGTGAGTGCGGCGGCGGGGCCGGGGCCGGGGGGCGGCGGGGCCGGGGCCGGGGCGGGCGGCGGGGCCGGTGGCGGGCCGGGGCCGGGGGGCGGGCAGCGGGGCCGGGGCCGGGGGGCGGGCGGCGGGGCCGGGGCCGGGCGCTGACCGCCGCCCCCCCCCCCAGGGCGGCGTGGCGGTGCCGCTGGAGGTGGTGCTGCTGCGGAAGGTGGGCGCGGCGGGCGCGCGCGGCGTCATCCGCCTGCTGGACTGGTGCGAGCGGCCGGACGGCTTCGTGCTGGTGCTGGAGCGGCCCGAGCCGGCGCAGGACCTGTTCGACTTCATCACGGAGCGCGGCGCCCTGGCCGAGCCGCTGGCGCGCCGCCTGTTCGCGCAGGTGCTGGCGGCCGTGCGCCACTGCCACGCGTGCGGCGTGCTGCACCGCGACATCAAGGACGAGAACCTGCTGGTGGACCTGCGCTCCGGCGAGCTCAAGCTCATCGACTTCGGCTCCGGCGCGCTGCTCCGCGACACGGTCTACACCGACTTCGACGGTGAGCGGCGCGGCGCGTTCCAACGGCCGTAACGGCCGCGGGGGGGGGGGGGGCGGGGCGGTCACACGCAGCCCCCGGCGGATCCCGAGCCGGTTCGGTTCGGTTCGGTTTGGTTCGTGGGGGGGGGCGGGGGCGGGGAGGCGAGAGGTGGGCTCAGACCGCTCCCTCTGGCCGTGTTGGGGCGCACGGGTAAGGGGGGGGGCTGGAGGGTCGCGGTGTCTGCCTGTGTGTGTGTGCGCGCGCGTGTGTGTGTGTGTGTGTGTGTGTCTGCGTGTGTGTGTGTCTGCCTGTGTGTGTGTGTGTGTCTCTGTGTGTGTGTGTGTCTGCCTGTGTGTGTGTGTGTCTGCGTGTGTGTGTGTGTGTGTGTCTCTGTGTGTGTGTGTGTGTCTGCGTGTGTGTGTCTGCCTGTGTGTGTGCGTGTGTCTGTGTGTGTGTGTGTGTGTGTGTCTGCCTGTGTGTGTGTGTGTGTGTGTCTGCGTGTGTGTGTGTGTGTGTGTGTGTGTGTGTCTGCCTGTGTGTGTGTGCGCGCGCGTCTGTCTGCGCGGGGAGTGCCGGGCCCCGCGGCGCGGCGTGGGCTCCCCTTCCTGCGGGGCTGCGTGCCGGGAGCGGGGGGAGCGGGGGCAGCGGGGCAGCGGGGCGCCGGCAGAAATCCCCGCATTGCGGTGCCGGGGAAGCCGGGGCTCCCCGCCCGCCCACGCCTCCTCCCTCCCCGCCCCTCCCGCCCGCCCGCGGCTCCGCAGTCCCCGCCCCCCCCCCCCCCGCCCACAGCTGTTTGTTGTGAAACCCGAGCCGGCGCCCACGTGACCGCCCCGCCCGCCGCGGGTTTTTCCAGGCGGAGACTCCGCCGGCGGCTCCCTCCTGGCTCGGGCCGCACCGGGCTCTGCAGGCGGAGCGGGGCCCCGGGGGCCGGGGTGGGCGCCCTGACCGCGTGTCCCCCCCCCAGGCACCCGCGTGTACAGCCCCCCCGAGTGGATCCGCTACCACCGCTACCACGGCCGCTCGGCCACCGTGTGGTCGCTGGGCGTGCTGCTCTACGACATGGTGTGCGGCGACATCCCCTTCGAGCAGGACGAGGAGATCCTGCGGGGCCGCCTCTTGTTCCGCCGGAGGGTCTCCCCGGGTGCGTGCGGGCCGGGCCGAGGGGGGCCGGGGCGGGGGAAGGCCCGGAGCCGGCCCGCTGACCTCCCTCCCTCTCCCTCCCTCCCTCCCCCCCGCAGAGTGCCAGCAGCTCATCCAGTGGTGCCTGTCGCTGCGGCCCTCGGAGCGGCCCTCGCTGGACCAGATCGCCGCGCACCCCTGGATGCTGAGGGCGGACGGGGCCCCCGAGAGCTGTGACCTGCGGCTCTGCGCCCTGGACGTGGACGACGGCGCCAGCACCACCTCCAGCAGCGAGAGCCTGTGAGGAGGGACGGCGTCTGTCACGGCCGAAGGGACCCGCTGCCCGGCCCGGCCGCAGGGCTCCTCCCGGCCGCCTGCTGGGACAGCAGTGACCTCTGACCCTGGTGACCATCACCTTGGCACTGGGCCTGCTCCTTTGCTTTGAGTGCCTTTCGGACGCTGCTCTCACGAGACTGGGTTTGCTCAGCTGTCTGTCCAAAGACCCCAGGGCGGTCTGTCTGTCCAGGCGGTGCTGGACCCGAGCCTGTCCCTGTCCTTTGCTTCCGGAGGCGCCGGGGCCAGACTGGACCAGGAGCACGCGTGTCCCGTGGCCTCATTGGACCAGGAGCACGCGTGTCCCGTGGCCTCCTCATGGCCCAGGGTCCTCGTGCCCACCTCCCACACCGCCTCTGGGTGTCTGCGGGCGTCTGTGCACAAGCAATGCAACGCGCAGGCTCTGCTGCCCACACGGCGCCCCGTCTGTGCGGCAAGCCTGCGAGCGTCTATTTATGGTGACCCCGCGGAGGGCTATTTATTGTTAATTTATTTGTTGGGGTCCTCAGCGCCCCTCTGCGGGGCCCCTGGGCGGGTGGCTGTGTGGACCCCAGTCCGACCCCACCTGCCTCTGGTGGGTGGGCTTGTACAGTGGCTAATTTAAGGGGTGGGTGACCCCCGTGGGCTCTGCACCCGGGAGTGGGTTTTAAATTATTGACCTGTACAGTCTGCTTGTGGGGCGGGGCGGGGGGGGGGCGGCGGCGGCAGTCTCAGGCCGTTAATTTATTTTAGCAGCTGTTTGTGGTCCTGGGCACCGGGGCGGGGTTCTTCCGTTTAAAAGCAAGATGTCTGGAAATCGTATTTTTTATACAAGCATTTCATTAAATTGTTTTGTATAGAAGGACGTCCTGCGTTTCTGGGGCTGGGGGTGGGCGGGTGAAGCCCCCCCCTCCTGTGAGGAGTGGCAGTGGGGGCCCAGGCCGGGTTCCCCCTCCCGGGAGGCCTGGTGTCGCTACCCCGGTTGCAGCTGAGGGGGTGGCATTGCCTGGCTGAGCCGTCCGGCCTGTGGGGGGTCAGGGAGCAGGCAGGCCTGGGGGGGTGTGGGGTGACATGGGGCCGGCGGAGGTCAGAGGCCATGTGAGGGCTTGGCCCCGAGAACCTCGTCTCCTCCAGGCGGCCAGCCGGGCGGGCAGAGGGCCCTCGCTCAGGCCACGCAGGTGGGGGGGCGGTCATGCCCTCCGGCCACTGGGAGGTCTGAGGGTGAGCAGGAGGCCTGGGTGCAGAGTGGGTGATGGAGTGTGACGGTGAGGTGAGGCAGTGTGGGAGGCTGACTGGGGAGGGTCTGGGTGTCCCCCCTGCCGCCCCCCCTGACCCCCCGGGAGGTCCCCATGCTGGGCTGCCTGTTTGCTCTCGAAGTCGGACTGGACGGAGGAAAGTCCGGGGGCCGCACGGGGAGCAGGGCAGGGAGTTTGGGGAAGTAAAGCGGGCAGGCAGGGCGAGGGTGCTGCTCCTGGCATGGTCTGGGGGCCTGGTGCACCCCCGTCCCAGGAGGAGCCACTGTGGCCCAGGAATTCCCGGCAGATGGCGGGAGCCGAGTGGATGGAGGGAGATGGGGTGCCGGTTCCAACGGTCCGGCCGGCCCGCCTGCTGCTGAGGGTGCTCCCGGCCGCCGGCTCCTGCTCACACGCTGCTCCCAGGAGGGGGACCCAGGGGAGGCGAGAACAGCTCCCCTCCACTCCCCCCACCACCCTGTGACAGCCACCCACACGAAACCAGGATCCTGGCTCCCCACTGGCCAGCCCAAGGTCCTGGGCACCAACCGTGCACCCACCTCCACAGACCATGATCCATCTGTCCGTCTGTCCACCCGCCCACTGCACAGCCAACAACCAGCCGCCCACTGAGCTAGTCTCCGGGGTATCCTGAGTCAGGCCCTGGGACAGCCAAGGCGCCCACTTAGTCACCAAGTGCCGAGAGCTGGTTCATAGCAAGGCATCTTCATTTTTTAAAACATTTTTACTAGTTTCAGAGAGGAAGGGAGAGGGAGAGAGAGAGAAACATCCATGATGAGAGTGAATCATTGATTGGCGGCCTTCTGCACGCCCCCTCCTGGGGATCGAACCCACAACCCAGGCTTGTGTCCTTACTGGAATGGAACCTGGGACCCATCAGTCCCCAGGCTGATGCTCTACCCACTGAGCACACCAGCCAGGGCTCGAGGCTACTTTAGAGGCACTGGCTCGGGTTCTGCACGGCACCTGTGGCTGTGGGACTTTCCCCGGGGGCTGCACAGAACCCCGAGATCCTGGTGGAAAGAACCGAGTTCTGCTTGGCACCCGGCCTCAGCTCCAACGCCCTGTGGCCGGCCAGCTCGCGTCTCTGCTCTGGCCCCTGCCCGGCCGGCAGCGCAGGGTCACACCTGTGGGGCCTGACCAGCTGGCCCCTCCCGGCCTCCTCATCCTGCGGCCCGCGGCAGCCTGGCCAGAAGAGAGAGGCCGGGGCGACCAGAACTGCTGCTCCCCTCCCTCTGCACAGCCTGAAACGGAACCTCAGCAGCTGCTTCTTGGAAAAGGGAAGTGACCACAGGAGCCCGGCCCCCACGCCTGCAGCAGGCAGGCCCCGGGGCCCGGAACCCCGGCGAGAGGACTCGGAGGGACAGGCGGGTCCCCGAGACGGCCGGGAGGCTCGACAGCGGGGCCGAGGGGTCCACCTGCCCGTGAGTCGCAGCCACGGAGCTGTGGCTGGGAAGAGGGCAGCCACGCCTGGCACCTGCCCACGGAGCCCCTTCGTCCTGGACCCCGGGCCGGGGCCGAGGGGGTGAGGCACAGCCACGCGGCTGGCTCGGGCACCTCGATGGCCCATTCTCCCCACGGCGGCCTCGGACGGGGCGTCAGCCGAGCCTCCGGCACAGGTTTCCAGGCCACTGGCTTTCCAGGCAGACGTGGCAAGGCCTGAGCGTGGAGCTCCCATTACACACTGACCCCCCCCCCCGGCCTGGTCCCCACAGGAGAGCTGTTCCTGGGACCAGGCCCGGTGCCAGCGGGTGGCCGGGTGGGGAGGCGTGAGGGCCTCCTGGGGGGAGGGGTACCGGTCCCCGCACTGACTGGGCCTGGCAGGTGTGGAAACGGGTATGGGGGCCCTCGGAGGGCCAGGGCAACTGTAGCCGAGGGGCCCCTACTCCGGGAGGAGGAGAGTCCTGGGTGGGAGCCCATCTCCCTGACCTGGGGCTCAAGGGGTGAGCTGACTGACTGGCCTCTGGCCCCTGCCACACCCCTTCCCGCCAGGAATCTGCCTGCCCAGACCCTCATCGGGCAGGCACCCTACTGTCACTGGCACGCCCACTCCTAGGGGAGGGAGGCAGGCACCTGCCCTATCCCAGCGTCTCAGACCCCGCCCCCAGGCTCCCAGGCCCCACCCCCAGACTCCCAGGCCCCGCCCCCAGGCTCCCAGCCCCCCCTCTCAGGCCCCGCCCCAGGGTCTCAGGCCCCGCCCCCAGATGCTGCCGCTGAGCAGGAACCGGTGCTTAATGACCGCTGGTTCCTCCAGCCTCGGAGGCCCCAGCTAGGCCTGGGCGGGGAGGGGAATGGGGGGACAGGGCTGGACCAGGGGACCGAGAAGGCACCCCCATGTCCCTCAGCGAGGCCCTCTGGTGCAGATGCCTGCAGTGTGGGGGGAATTGGGGGGCATTGTGGGGGCAGTGTGGAGGGCCGGAAAGGGGCGGGGTGATGTGGGGGCCAGTGGCTGGCAGGGGGGCCAGGGCCCAGGAAGGAGGGGTCCTGAGACCAGGAGGGGGGGCGGTCTGGGAGGTGGGGTTCATTTGGACGCAGGCGGAGTGGAGCCCGAGAGTGCGGGGATGGAGATGGGGGTGCATGTGCACAGTGAGCCCCCCAAGGTGAGAGCGTGAGAGCAGGCGGGCGGTGCCGACCCCCTGGCCCCAGAGGCTCCGTGCTGCGCCCCCGGCCCCGGCCACCCCTGCCCGGCTCTGGGACTGCCTGTCCCATCCGCACACACGGTGACCAGCACCGGCCTGCCAGTTCCCTCCATGCCTGGGGCTGCCCGCCCGCCGTGGCCGCTGTGCCCTACGGCCAGACAGTGTGGGCGCCCGGAGCTTGCCCGCTGGGCACTGCCCCAGGCCCCGGACCCAGGTCCCATGCCAACAGCACATGGGGGGCCTCGGCACCCACAGCCAGCCTTGGGGAGCCTGCCTCTCAGGAACAACTTTGCTGACTGCTCCCCCACCCCTGCCCTTACAGAGCTCGGCTTAAACTCATACCCGGAGCCGCTTTAAACATCTCTCAGAAAGCGAAGTGGAGCTGAGACCGGTCTGGCTCAGTGGTAGAGCGTCGGCCTGCAGACTGAAAGGTCCCAGGTTTGATTCCGGTCCAGGGCATGTACCCTGGTTGCAGGCACATCCCCAGGAGGGGGTGTGCAGGAGGCAGCTGGTCCATGTTTCTCTCTCATCGATGTTTCTAGCTCTCTATCCCTCTCCCTTCCTCTCTGTAAAAACTCACATATATATATATATATATATATATATATATTTTTTTTTTTTTAAAGGAAGAAAGTGAAAGGGAGGTCTGAGGGAACTCATGAAAAGTGTTTTTAGAAAATAATGTTTAAAAAGAAATTTCAGAGGAAAAAGATGGAGACATCAGTGATGAGAGAATCACTGGCCCTCTCTGGGGATGGAGCCTGCACTCTGGGCCTGTGCCCTTAAACCTGAGTCACACCTGACCCGCTGCTCAGGTCAGCGCTCAGCCCGGGGCCACGCGGGGCACGGAGAGTATTTTTGGAACCGCCTCACGGAGGGTCAGTTCATGAGCCATGAAGTCTCCACTTCCCACCCTCAGCCAGGACGGAGCGAAGCCCGTGCGGCGCCCAGCCCGAGGCTGATGTTAGACATTGCGGCCCAGCCGGCCTTCCTTCCCATGAGCGGCTCCCCCGCCCCCTCCGCTGCTGAACGCGGCCCTGATCGCCTCCCGCTCCGCCGCCAGCCCTGCGCTCAGGCCTCCCCAGCTCAGCTGGGAGGGG